CTATAAGTGCTATCAATGTTTCAGCTTTGTTCTTGGGCATGCTGAGGTAAAGTCTGCAAAAGTTTCAACTGCAAAACATTAAGGTAAACAAATATGAATCGAGAGACAACTAAAATCCCTAGCAAGTCACTGATCAATATCCATTGATTCAACAAGGCTCAGGCCTTTACAAGGAGACGAAGAAATTGGTATCTTGGTTAGATGATAGTTGGACAGTTGGTTTGAAGGTTGTTAGTTACCATGATTCATCTTTTTTTTAAGGAAATGAGGTCAAATATTATATTCTCAGTAAGAAAATAATGAGAATGTTGTGCGCTGAGCGGAGAGCCACTACACTAGCAAGATGATTGATGGATCATTTATATTTAAGGTAATAAACTCTTAACACCCAATGAAAGAAGGTTCGTCTCTTCAATGATCATTTGTATGTCTCGAATAAAGTAACAAGACAACAATTACCAATAGAGGAGATGATCGATGAAAAGATAAAATTTTGATATTGTTATCACCTCTACCTCCTTCATATGAACATTCAATTCGTACTCTTGTATGAGCAAGATGCAATTAACATTGAGGGTGTAGAAATAGTAAGACCAGAGCTAAGAGTAAAAAGGAGAGGAGGATATGCAGCTATAAATTAAGCTATAAATTAGTAAATAAGTGCATTGATCCCTTTTCTGTAAGAAAACACGTACAACCACATGCCCAAATAAATCAAGCTGGATGTTCTCAAAAATCTATTCCATCCTCAAAATAAATTCCCAACTCCCAAGCCTCAAGAAATAGATGGCGAAAAAAATCTAAAATGAAAATTGAAATATATCTAACTAGTTGAATACAATTTGAGGTCTATGCTTGTACTGCAAGTTTTTGATAATCTTCAAATACAAAACCTATACTCAACAGTGTATGTCGTCTGAGTTGTCCTCTCATCATAAATCCACCTCAAATTACAGAGATGAATCATGATCCCCATTTTCCCCCTAAAATACACATAAAGATATAGATGAATATCATTACATGATTTCATATACCGCCATAGCAAATATCACTATTCATTACTAGAGTGAAGGATTGTTTCATTTCCAATGATAATGAGCAAGATATCCATCATTACATATTGTAAAGGACAAGTCATGGACTATAAGTTGGATGTTAAAGTACTATGGTAATTCTCCAGAAAAAAGAAATGATAGAAACTACAAGCAAGTGAAGTATATAGACCAAAAGGTACTTTGGATTCTGGTCATGGGAAGCTCCACCAAACAGGAAACTAGTATTAATCCTCGAAGGGACACACATGACACAACTATTCCTTGAGAAAAAAGTTATAGAAAAAGTGGTTGCGGAGCAAAAAAAGGACATCTTCGAGAAATTGTGAACTCAACTATATGTGATGATATCAAATATGTAGATTATATACAACAGTGACAACTAACAACACAGAGATAACCCATTGGACAATAAAGTAAAATATTTAAATCAACATAGGCTGTTCCCATAGAAAGTTTAAACTAATGGATAGTCGACTAATAACTGTAACATTGATGATAATTCATAGAGCAAACTATGCCAACTTCTATAATATGGATTCACAATCATATCATAACAGAACCTTAGATGCAGAAGCAAGTAGTCGGTAATTAAAATTAAGATGCAGATTAACATCGGATCAACACACAACATTGACTTACATAAAGAAAATATCAATTATTACAAAATTCTAACCGATGAATAAGAGTAAAAGATAATCATATTGCTTCTTTACCTTCATAAACATAACAATTGACAAAAGCATCCAATGATCCTAAGAGCTTCCATGCAATGTCCACAACCCCATCGAATGTTGCCTCCTTATCTTCTTCCATATTCAATCCAACCACTTCAACCCGATTAATTCCCTTCAAAGAACCCATAATCTCCTCGGCCATGCTTCGGAGACAACTTTCATCACCCGCTAGAACTAACCTAATTACAAAATCAAAGAAGAAATCTTAAAATATAAATTAAAAGAGAAATCATAAGAAACTTAAAATCTAAGGTAATAGATATATGAGATTTAACCAATTGATTGAAGGAAAGGAACATGCCTCAGGAACAAATTATAGAGAAGGTATAATTACAGAATAGAACAAATAATCTTAAAAGAAGTTCCATCAAGCAAATAATCCATCGAATTGGTAAAGAAGAAGAATATGTTGCCAGGGATTAAAACCAAACCAAACCAAACACGGAATAATACATGAATTCAAAAGCAACAAAGATATCACTACCATCCATCAACATAAGTAGAGTAAAACAGCAAAAAAGATAGGATCTTCAGAGATTTATATAGGACACGTAAACAATAAGAAATAAGCACAAAAGGAGCCTCATTCCAAGCAAATTAATTCATTGAATTGGTAAAGAAAGAAAAAGATGATACAACTCTAAACTACAAATAAACTAAAATCAAACCCAAAAGAAAATGATCCGTGAACTCAACAGCAACAACAATAGCACCACCATTCATCAACAAAATAATAATTAACAGAAAAATATACATATATAAATATATACGATTATTACCTGCAGCCACTCTTGGCCAAATGATAAGCAATCCCTCTCGAGATCTCGTCTCCACTCACAGTCAACAGAACCCTTCTCCCACTGCTCTCCATTCTCTCAAGCTACCAAACAAAAAAACAAAAATCCAACGCTCAAATCTCAAGTTGCAGATACCCAACTCAAAAAGAGGACATCTTGATCATGAAAAAGTGATTAATTTTAAGGAACTTGAACACGTCTGAGACGACGCGATTTTGATGGACACGATAAATAGGTAGAAAGTGGGTAATTCGGTCAAACGTATTGGGGAATTGTGAAAATTTGAGAGGAGAAAGCCAAAATTGGAAAAGTTTGGATCGGTGAAATTATTAGAATAAGAGCTAGAGGGAAGTCAACAGCAGCTAAATAATTGAGTCCGAGGTTTAATGTAAGGACTGTTATGTATTTTAACCCTGAAACCAATATATTTGGCAAAATGTCCAGATTGGTATATTTTATAGAGGTTTGGTGACATGTTGGTATATATTTTTTTTTAGTTTTATCAGATTGGTATATTTTTGTCGATTCCGGCGTCAAATACACTTTAAATTTGGCCGGAGTTACTGTTCCGACCAGTGCTGACAGGATTTCTTGCATAAAACTCCCTCATTAAAACTCCATCATGCTCCTAACCCTCTCCTCCTCCTCTCCCTCTCCCTCCTCCTCCCTCTCCCTCCTCCTCCTCATCCTCTTCAACCTCCCCCTCTCCCTCATCCTCATCATCCTCTTCCTCCTCCTACTCGTCCTCTTCAACCTCCCCCCTCTCCCTCCTCCTAAATTCATCCACAGCTGCTAGTAGTTCAGCTAGCTTCTTGTTTGGGAAAATATTATCAGCCTTCATCCTTTTCCTAAACCCATACGTTGAATCATTGCGTTCAAGTAGGCTTCAAGCAACAACTCATGTAATTTCATCCTATTTCTGAACACAGCTTGCCTTCATCTATTCTCTTTCATGCGCTTAACCAAATCTTCCCCCTCAAATAGAAGTTTATTTTTAGCATATATCCTCAGAAGAGCATAATAGGATTTTGATAAAACTTTATTTCCCAACTTAAATGTTTTCTCAAATACTTCCTCAACCTTATCTACACAACCACGATGAGGTTTAGCCTCACACACTTTCCAAACCCTCTCAACATCAGAAGCTTTGTCAAGAGAAGCATATAGAGGGAGAACAAACTTGCAAGCCATAGATTGAATCATTAGATCAGGCCACATTCCCTCAGCTTTCATCTTCTCCACAATCTGTTCGATGCCATGATGATGATCATGATGACGAGGTTTTGTTTGAGGGGGTTTTATGCAAGAAATCCTGTCAGCACGGGTCGGAACAGTAACTCCGACCAAATTTAAGATGTATTTGGCGCCAGAGTCGACAAAATATACCAATCTGACAAAGCTAAAAGAAAATATACCAACATGTCACTAAGCTTCTACAAAATATACCAATCTGGCCATTTTGCCTAATGTATTTTCAAAATTAGGAAAATTATATTAAGTTCCCAAAAACAATATCTTCATGTGCTGGTCGTAGCTCATTCAGCCCCCCCCCCCACCCCAGCCCTTACCCCCCCCCATGTTGTGTAGCTCCAAGAAGTATGACATCTTGTGCTGCAGCCCTCTTTTAGCAATTATTACCAGCCAACTAAGTATAGAGAGAATATAAAAAGTACAAAACCCCAAAATGTTCTTATCTCTTTCATGTTAGGTCTATTTAGAACTAACATGAACTCCAATTAGAACTAACATAAACTTTTATTATAACTAATTTAATTCCTTTTAAGTCTAATTTAAATCATGTTATGTCTAATTTAACTTATTTTAAGTCTAATGTAATTAGACTTAACATGAAATTTAACTTAAATTTTTAAATTAGACTTAACATGATTTAAATTAGACTTAAAAAGAATTTAACATGATTGAAATTAGACTTAAAATTTTGTGTTAGGTCTAATAAAAGTTCGTGTTAAGTCTAATTTCATGTTAGATCTAATAAAAATTTGTGTTAAGTCTAATATCATGTTAGGTCTAATAAAAGTTCGCGTTACTTCTAATAAAAGTTCGTGTTAAGTCTAATTTTATGTTAGGTCTAATAAAAGTTTGTGTTAGGTCTAATAAAAGTTTGTGTTAGGTCTAATTTCGCCAAAGCCTCAGAAGCAATTCAGCGAAGCTAGAAGATAACTTAGCCAAAGCTTATCAATCTTGACGACAAGTCATATCATGTCTACTCAAAGACCATGAGTCATCACATCGCTTATCAGCCCACGTCCCGTCGATCGCACCTCAAATCGAGGCTGAAGTGATCTTCCTCCTGTCGCCAACCGACACATGTAGAGCAAAGGATGACTCACCTTCCAGCTCACACTTTGTCACCGCCATTTGCATGGTCGAAGTGACCAATCTGCCATTGGCATCCTCTTTATATGCAGATGCTATTCTCCATAGCCATAGGTTCGCAATCTAAACTCTCCTTCTGACCTAAATCTTAGAGATCATCATCTCTAATGCACATAGCATAAGAATACATAGTTCTATGGCTCCACTCAAGCTCAAGTTCATCAACTGACTTGATCGTCGGAGGTACCACAGGGGAATCATCACTCCGCCCTCTCACGACTTCTTCTGTGCAGATTGCAAACTCTAACTCAGTGGCCAAACATAAAGTCGGGAAAGAAAGAGATCACCTTCATCATCCTCTATCACTCCTTAACCGCAACCATCCTATTCTGGATTATATTGTGTGATCTTTAGCATCAACAGTTTGGCGCCCACCATAGGGCCTTCTTTTTTTTTTTTTTGAAGAGAACATATCTGGTTCTGAAGATAGAGCTGAGCAATCTCGTCCTAGAGGACCTCATCAGAGTTATGCTACTTAAGCCCATCTTGATGCAATAGCTCATATGATTTCCCAATTCTGCCAAGAGCAATTTGTTGCCTTCTCCAATGAGCTTCTTAGCTGGCTTCCACAGCCGCAAGAAGTAGTCTCTACGACTCTTCGCCATCGTGCCTCTCCAGTCCCCTCAGCTACCATTAGAGCATCTGGATATGATCGAGTCAACAGACCGATCGCAAATGTCATCGGGAGTAACAACCCCCTTTCAGACGACCATATGAATGTCTCATGTGAGAAATTCAAAATGCCTCACATAGAGACATACAAGGGTGAGGAAGACCCCTACGAGCATGTTCAGAATTATTATAATGTGATGAGTATGCTCCCTCCAAGCCTCATAAGCAATTCTCTGTTGGTGCTTTCCTATCACTTTTTCAGGGAGTGCTAAGCTCTGGTGGAACACTCTCGAGAAGAGATCCATCAGAAACTTTTGACAGCTTAGTCGAAAGTTCATCCACCATTTCCTAGCTGACGCCAAGCGGAAGCTCCCCCCTCATGTGCTGATCCAAATAAGGCAGGGGCCAGAAGAGAGCCTCCGGGCCTACTTCAAGAGATTCCAAGCCAAAAGGCTGAAAGTCGATGACCCAGGGGGTGCGGTCACCATGTCAGCACTCGTCGCTGGTTTGCAGAGCAATGAGTTGGCCGACTCTCTTGCTAAGAAACCAGACGTTAATTATGAGCAATTGATGGCCAGAGCCCATGGATACATGGACATGGAAGATGCCTGAGCCTATAAGGTGGCAGCCAGGGCCACATAGACCTCCACAGTCACGCCTTTGGCACCCTGATCCAAGCCCTTAGCTCCTCATCAGGATAAGCCCAAGGCACAACACTTTGGCCGACTTCACAGTTGTTTCTCGGCCATAGAGGAAGCCCTAGTCAACTCTCCTCGCAGTTCTAGCCATTCGACTCCTTAGTCGGATTCCAAGCCCTTGGCTCCTCACCAGGATAAGCCCAAGGAACAACCATTTGGCCGACTCCCACAGTTGTCTCTCAGGCATAGGGGAAAACCTAGTTGACTCTCGAGAGCCTAGGTGGTTCGACTCCTCAGTCGGATTTCAAAGCCCTTGGCTCTTTATTAAGGTAAGCCTAAGGCACAACATATGGTTTGATTCCTCCCACTCTCATCGATCATCATGGTCAAGACCTTGGTTCCTCATCAGGATAAGCCTAAGGCACAACCCTTTGGCCAACTCCCACAGTCGTCTCTCGGTCATAAGGGAAAACCTGATCGACTCTCAAGAGCCTAGGTGGTTCGAATCCTCAGTCGGATTTCAAAGCCCTTGGCTCTTTATCAAGGTAAGCCCAAGGCACAATATATGGTTCGATTCCTCCAGCTCTCATCGATCATCATGGTCAATACATTGGTTTCTTTAAGAATAAACCCAAGGCACAACTCTATAGTCGACTCCCACAATCACCTCTCGACCATACGAGGATACTGAAGACTTAGGTCCAGCATGAGGCCCAACCTCAGAGTTATCATTCTGCCATTAAGACCTTGGTATCATTATGAGTAAACCCAAGGCATGGAGTTCAATTGTCCGGTCATCTTCAGCAAAAAGACTCAAAGCACTTCAACTTACTAGTCTTCATCGACCAAGACCCGAGCATCTTGCCCGCAGTAGGCGCAATATGAGGTTGTTGTCAAGCTGGCTCGTAACATTCGGGTCAACACAACATAACCAGCTCAAGAATTTCCACTTGATTCGCTAAATCAAAGCAATGCTACAAAGCAATCAATAGCCCTAACTTCAGTCCAGAGCTTTATTCATTTTACTTGGACTTGGCTAAAGCCGACTCCAAGCGAAAGGGGCCAACTGTTATGGGGTATAACTGTTTCCAGATATATGATCTAATGAGTTGACATCTCGACCGACGGGAGAGATAGTCAGAGATCAGCTAGCAGTCCGACTCAGCCGACCAGACGAGTTGAAATTCATCAATATCAACTCCAAAGGCGGTACCAGTCAACCATCTCGTAGCAGGCAACTCGCCAAGAGCCTAGTAGACTCAGTGAGTTTTCGCTCCTCTTAACGAGTCGACTCTCCTCGTGAGTCCCATCACGAGGGACATTGCTTCTTAGCGAAGCTAGAAGATAACTTCGCCAAAGCTTATCCATCCTGACAATAAGTCATATCATGTCTACTCAAAGACCATGCGTCATCACGCCGCTTATCAGCCCACGTCCCGTTGATCACTCCTCAAGTCGAGGCCGAAGTGATCTTCCTCTTGTCGCCAGCCGACATATGTAGAGCAAAGGATGACTCACCTTCCAGCTCACACTTTGTCACCACCATTTGCATAGTCGAAGTGACCAATCTGCCATTGGCATCCTCTTTATATGCAGATGTTATTCGCTATAGCCAAAGGTTCGCAATCTAAACTCTCCTTCTTACCTAAATCTCAGAGATCATCATCTCTAATGCACATAGCGTAAGAACACATAGTTCTATGGCT